CGATTTTATAGAAGATTTAGGGCGAGTATTATAAAACTGCTTTGACAGTTAACTTAAAGTTAACTTTTTGAATTACATGTAATTTCAAAAATTAACTTTAAGTTAACTCTCAAAGTAGTTTTATAATACCCGCCCTTAATTCTATATTTGGCATGTAATGTTACCAACCTAAACATGAAATCAGGAAATATGAGAATAAAATTTCCAAGAAAAATTTGTTTTTTTTAATTAAACAATACCAGAATAGAAAAAATAGTATAAAATATTTGTTTCATAAGACATTTTATCGCACTCGTCCTTTAAATAATATCTAATATAGGGCTCGTGCGATAAAATCACGTCTTATGAAGCTTGTATTTTAATGTACTATTTTTAAATGGAACACCCGGTATATTATATGTGTGTTCGTTAGAGCATATTATTCTGATTACAATGATATAACACACTTCATATTTTGTTCCACTCGTTTTTGACAAATCGGCAAAAATATATGAAATTTTTATATGCTCTCAATAATTTTCGTCCCAAATATCAGACCGCCGCGCCGCCTAATAAGTTTCACTTCGAAAGTTTCATATTTTTGCCGATTTGTCAAAAACGAGTGGACCAAAATATGAAGTGTGCTATATTATTGTAATCAGAATAATATATTCTATCGAACACATTTATAATATACAGGGTGTTCCATTTGAAAAAATACAATGTAGGCTTATATGTCAAAAAGTTGATAGTGTTTTGTTTTACGTGTAATTTGAAAAAAAACTTGGCTACTAACCCTACATTTTGTTTTTTTGTTTACCTTGATAACTTCAAAAACAAAAAAGTTACAGGTGATCAAAATGATATCGAAGATAAAAAAACACCCGGTACAGGGGGATTAAAAAATAGGAAAATATGCAGGGTTTTTTGGTAAAAGTAGAAAAAAAATGGCACATCACTATTTTTTTTAACCTTTGATATTTTTTTCAGATTAAGCAAGTCATATTTCAGTCAAAAGAAACCTTTCGTTATCACAAATCAACCTGCCAAATTAAAAAAAAAAAATGGAGAAATTTTTGAGCTGAAAAAACGATTTTTTCTAAAACTTTGACACCCTGTATCTCAGAAACTACGCATTTCTGGTCACATATTTATGGGAACTTTTTTTGTTAAAATATCGTAAGGAATGACATCCTGAAGTTACGGACCGTAGTTAGGAAATACCCTGTATATTTTTCTATTTTTTGACCACCCTGTACATGCTATTTCAACTTTTAATACATAGTTTGATATTATTTTTTCAAGAAGCAGAAACTCTTATAAAGGATAACTTTTTTTCGTAAAATTGATAATAAAAAAGTCTCCCATGTGCTGCGAACTTAAGTGGATACTGTATTTTATGAGAAAATTTCATGAATCAAAAATTCAAATTTTTTGTCAAAACACCAGTTCTCGCATTAGTTACTATGCAATAATTTACACTAATATAAATTATCACGTAGTTCCAATCTGATTGGTTCAAAAATCAACAATCAAAACATGTTAGTTTATTGTTGGTATGTCAGTTTTGACAAATGTATGAAATTCTCATCAAAAAAACGGCCACTAAAATCAAAAATCGACATATCCGAGATTTTTTGAAAAAAAAATCAACCTTGTATTTTTGATGGATTTTATTCCTAACCTTCACGTACTAACTGTATTTAACTATGCTATATGATATCCTCTTTCGTTTATTGAATTCTAGTAAAGTTATCTTTGTTCGTTTTGAGTTCATTATGAAATATATTCACCATAATTATTTACACAAACTAATAACTGGCCTTGCAGTCCTCTCGCGTTGTGTAATTTTTACTTACCCCGGTGCGAAATTAAATCCGCCAGAGGTCGCACCTCGCTGCAGCCAAAATTTTTGAATTTCCGTGTTTGCAGGGCTTACAATTTGAGACGAGATCTCAAAAACTACTTAATATTTTTTAGTGAATCAAGCAGATTCGAAAAGATAATAAAATTTAGAACAATGCTCTTGTTTCATTTTTTTAAAAAAAGCGATGGGTTTGGATGTACCGAGCGATAGAAATTATGCTTTTTTTCGAGTATTTAGGTCGTGATATTTTTTCAATTTGCAATTTTTTTTTTCGAAAAGATTGATTTAGATTTTTATCTTTTATTATTTTCTAATCCGGTCAAAAAATATTACAAAATAAGTGAGTTCTCGTCTCGGGAAATCAACCCTTTTTCTCAATTTTTAACGGCTTGTTGTTGGCCTCTTAAAATATCGGGGCTGTTGCATGTGTGAAAATTTATCACATATTAGGTTTCGATTCGCAAATTAGAATAATTATAGTCAAGTTACAGTCCCTAACTCGTGACTTTTCCCTTTCTCTTCTTATTTTGAAATTATTCAATAAATTTATGATTAACAACCTCTGAAAGGAAAGATGAATCGAACTTATTATAGTAAGACAAGTTTTGAATTTTACGAAATGTGAATGAAAAACTTTAACATTATTTTAGTACAAGGTTTTTAAATTTACATATCCTATGAGGATAATTGTTTTTGATACCTATCTTAGAAATTTGGTTGTTGGGATGCTAAATGGGTCCATTAAAGTGTTCCATTAAAATAAATCGATAGTGAGGTAATATCTTTTACTGGAGACACCCTATGTAAAAACTTAGAGGATAACTACGCGCATTGGCGCATTGAATATTTCTTTGTCTGCTGTTTGATTGGAACCTAGGTGCTCACAAAATACACTGGGTATATATTGATAATAGCCTTTCTGTTATATTCTCTCCACATTTTCCTACTGCCTTGCTTGTCGTTGCTTTTTCCCTGTTAGCTTAAGTCTCCTAGCAATAAGATTTCCCTTCAATTTCATACTTTATGATTTGATATTTGATCTCCGAGTTGTTGATCTTTTATCATCTTTTATACTGAAGTGTTCATCGGTCACTCCATATATTCCCAAATTTACTACCTACCTTTGATGCTATTATCGTTTCGTGTAGGTACTGCTTCCCAACCTACCCTACACAGTGGAATTCCCAACAAGGGAAGATTGAGTGCAGAATGAGCATGCCGTACTAAAAGCAGATCCATGTCTGTTCACGGATGGATCGAAGACAGACAGTGCGGAATGGGAGCGGGCGTTTATGGTACAAAACTAGGTTATCCAGTAGCCTAGGAAACAATACAACCATCTTTCGAGCGAAAGTGCATGCTATTGAAATGGGTGTGATGAGGCTGCAGCATCGACCAATCGACCCTAAACTCACAAAAGCATAAGAATATGTTCTGACAGCCAAGCCGCTCTCAAGGCGCTTAGCTCCACCTACTGTGATTCGAGAACAGTCCGGAGCTGTCAGGAAGCTCTAAGCAAATTAGGGAAGAAAAACAAGGTAAACCTGGGCAAACAACAAAGCACACGAACATTGGTTAAACCTGTCAGGGGTCACACAAGCAAAGGCAATCATGAGACAACCGGTGAAGGGAGAACGCTCGGTTGGAAGGATGCACACTGGACTCTGTAGGCTAAAACACCATATACACAGGGCTGGGCTGGCAGTTGAGGACGAGAAGACAGCTGCACACATTCTTTACGAATGTCCGGCAGAGATGGCAGACCGAGGCATCATATAGGTGGGGCAACGGTCCCACTGGGAGACCTGAACATCTCTCGATCTTACTATTATCCTGGACTTCATTGGGAAAATAGGCATGATTGGAGAAATACAAATAAGCATGAGCCACAATAGACCAATGGAGTCTCAGTGGATAGCCGTAATAGGCCCATTTATTTTCGACCTAACTGCTTCCCATGATATTATATATTTTCTCCATTTTATTATAATAACTGATGCTCTTAATCATTTTTGAACTCTGCTAAAGAAATGATCATACTCTCACAGATTTTCTGAGCATGTTCTTTGTTTTTTGGTTTTTGTGGTGATATCAGGCCCATTTTCCGATGTTTGATTTCTCTGACATTACTTTATTCATTTTTCTAGAGATTTCTTGAACCCTCCATTTACCAGTACCTACTAATAGTCCCTTTTCGTTTCCTACTAGTTCGTCACCGATTTTCGCTCTTGCTCCGAAGCTGTTGATTGTGCATTTCAATAGTATACAGCTTTTCGAAGTAACGGGTAGTTAGCCCGATGTCTCAACGCCATACCAGAAGGATTAGATAATTTGTGGATGAGGTTGTCTTCGTTCCTTTAGCCTTTGATGAGCGAACATCTAGATATATGGCAGCAGTGTCTTCGCCGTATCCTTATAGAATATGCTCTCATCCAGGCCAGATCAATCCTGGTTTTTTACCGAGCTTGTACTTACTGCTCATTCCATCCCGCGGTAGTACAATGGGACTCCTGGCTTAGAACTTGCTTATAGCGGAGTTCATTGGTGAAGTCTGGAAGAAAATGATTATTTTGAGAGCAGTAGTATTTTGAAAAACTCGATGGGATATAGACTTAAAAAAATATTTCTGAAATAAGGACCAAGATGAACAAAAATTGCTTTGCTTAAAAAAAAAAAAAAACTTTTTCGTTTATTTTTGGGTATTGTGTTCAATTATATAAGCACCAAATTCAAGTTGAAATTTGTCGGGCAATGCAAGGATTTAGTTCAACAAATCAATTCTTTTGGATCATTTTATTTCAATTTGAAAAATAAAAATATTGTTTTTTAATATGTTATTTGAGAATTGAACGTTAAGTAAGAACTATATAGAAACAAATTCATAGTAGGTAGGTAGGTAAACTATTTTAAACAATATACAACCCATGAAAAATAACTATTGGCAAACAACTTATTAAGCACATGCATGTGTACTATTTCGTGTACTTTTAGACTTAGAACATTGCTTAAACGATGTAAGAAAATCATGAGATAAGATAAGTCGTGTTTCGAGTCTAGTTAGCAGCGTCGAAATTTTGCTTCCTGCGGCCCGCAATCACATCTCGTGTTGTTGGCGTCGGCGCGATAGTATTTTCACGTATTTTTACCATCCAGAAATAAATCGATCAGCGGCAAAATGAAATCCATGGTAACTAGGCGGATTTTAAATCAAATTTACAAAAATTCAGATGCAATTAATATAAGGTCGTCAATTAAACAAACACGGAAATTTTGTTTTGTCTCCAAAAACACCGATCTCGAAAACGTAAGTAGCCTGACATTTTGATACTTCTTATGCCTAATGTATAGGATATGCATTTTTAGGCTAGCTTCCAACATGAAAATTATAGGCAAAGGTAAAAGGATTTTATCAAAAATATTCGTAGTGAACTTTTATTTTTTTTTTTATTATTTTTTTTTTTAAATATTACAGACGGCTCTATTCTTTTATCCACGACACAAATTACTTATGTTTGTAAGTTTATCTAATAAAAATGTTCTAAAAGAATGATTCTTCAAATTAATTTCAATTTAGGGGTGAAAACCTTCACACCGATGAAGTATTATTTGAAATGTTCAAAAACAAAGAAACCGGACTTTTATCTATCGGAAAATTTCTCAATGTAAGTAGGTACCTATCAATTTTATTTTCATTTATTTAACATTTTCAATAATAACTTCAAGGCATTACGAGCTACGGGGTTAAGGAAAACCGATCCAAGATTAAAAGAATTTGCTGGCATTTTAAAGACCATGGCGAAAGGCAATACTGATGGATACTCCGTTGATGTACAAAAATTAAATTTAAATGATTTCAAAAGGTAAATGAAATCATTGATAAGTATTAATTTAATTCCAAATTAGTAAACAAAACTTATTTTCCGTATTATTATTGTCCAAATATTACAGCTAGGCAACTTTTAATGCACTCGATGTTACCTAATTGCCAGTAAATCAAGTTCATACTTTACATAAAAGAAACTCAAAATGTCGAAAACATCTTAGCGATTCCTAGATAATCGATCAACGGATATTTTTGCCACCAATTCTGATACTTACATAGCTGATTTTCCCGATGCTGATGACATCCATCCATGATCATATCGCATAGGCATAACATTGAACTGGAGGGCTTGTGTATAGTCCGCAGCATGAAACATAGAGGATCCAATGCGCCAAATTTGACACCAATGCGTAGAATGATTCGTGCCGCCCTGTCCTCTTCTCCAGTTTTTTATATTTCTTCACGAAATATGGAAACTTTTGACCATTTCTATTTCGCCTTTGACTTTTTTGGGGAATGTTCTACAAACACTCAGCGAACCTGTTAATAATATCTTTCTGTCTTTGTTCCCGTTCTTCCAGTCGCCTATCATCTTGTCCATGCGAAATGTTTTTGGAGTCGGTCCTGTTCTTCTTGCCTTTTTTTTTTAGTATTCCTCTTTCTGAAGAATAAAGGCTTTCACGGCCGGTCAAATCTAGTAAAAAAGTTTTTTCCGGGCTGTAATGCCGTGGTCCATTAGTATTTCTACCTGACGTTTCGTCTACTGCTGCGGTAGACATTTTCAGAGGCGGTGTGGTAGAGGACGAAGTGTCCTCTTCGTGTTCCTCCGATGACTGGATTCGACGTTGTTGGACCTGCGTTATTTATATCCAGGGTTGTGAGCGTGGCATTGTATTACGTTATTTTCCTTGTCTCGTTCTCGAAAAGGAAGGGTCTTTGTTTTTCGGAGAACTGGCAATCAGCTTTTGTTGAGGTTCATGCCCTCTTTTTTTCAGTTGAAGTTGTTGTGATGTTTCTGTATCTCTATGGCTTCTCTGTGGAGTCTGGTGTAAAAATGTTTGGTTCTATCTAATGCTTGAGTCTGTCTGGTCGAAACGAATGACATGGTTTGTTTGTGTAAGCACGTGTTCGGCGATTGCTGATCTATCTGTTTGTCCCTCCTGATAGTTTCTTTTGTGCTCTTTGACCCTGGTGAGAGCGTTTGGTTGTTCCTACATAGACAGATCCACAAGAGCAGGGAATTCTATGGATGCCAGCCATTTCAATAGGTGCCCTAGGATCTTTGACTGATCTTAGACTTTGCTGAATTGTTCTTGTGGGCTTGTAGATAGGCTTAACGTTGTGTCTTTCTAGCGTCCGTCCTCTGCGGTCTGTGACATTTTTGATATAGAGAAGAAAGGCTCTCCCTGCCACCTGTGCTGGTTCCTTGTTATTTGTGTGCTGTTGCTTCGGTCTTATGGCTCTATTAATCTCCTGCTTGGAGTACCCATTTCCTTCAAGTAATGATTTTAGATGTTGCATCTCGTCCTGAAGGTATCTGGGTTCACAAATCCGGATTGCCCTGTCAGATAGAGCTTTAATGACTCCTCTCTTTTGCTTAGGATGGTGATTGGATTCCTGGTTGAGTTATCTGTCCATATGCGTCAGCTTCCTATATACTCTGTGTCCCAGTTTACCTGAGGGTAATCTTTCTATGAGGACGTCGAGGAATGCAATTTTGTTGTCCTTCTCAACTTCCATCGTAAACTGTATCCTGGGTTCTATTGAGTTTAGATGATTAAGGAAGTTTTCGAGCTCTGCCTCTCCATGGTTCCAAATAACAAATGTGCATCTACATAGCGAAACCAACAAGTAGGTTTCTTTGTGGCCGTTCGCAATACCATTTGTTCGAAGTTTTCCATGTACAAGTTGGCGATAACCGGGCTGAGTGGACTCCCCATTGCGACTCCATCTGTCTGCTCAAAGAATTCATTTTGCCATTGAAAGTACGTAGTCGCCAGACAGTGGTGAAATAAGTTGTTGATTTCCTCCGGAAAAACATCTTTCAGGTACTCTAAGGCCTGATTCACTGGTACCTTAGTAAACAATGAGACGACATCAAAACTAAATGTCGTTTGGTATAGTAAAGTGATGTCACTAATCTTTTTGATGAAATGAGTTGAGTCTTTAACATAAGAGCTGGATTGGCCAATCCGTGGCTGAAGGCAAGTGATGAGGTATTTGGCTATGCTATATGTGGGCGAATCTATTGCACTTACAATGGGCCTGAGTGGGTTGCCTGTTTTGTGAATCTTAGAAAGCCCATATATTCTAGGTGGTAAGGCCTCAGATTTGATGAGTTTCCTTATGTTTTCCGGGTCCAACGGACCCAGATGAGTTGATTGGTTTACCGCAATATAGAAGCAGTGGGATTCCGCTTCAGCTTTCTGTAGGTGGAGGGGTCTAGCAGTTCGGAAATTTTTGATTCATAGTCAGTCACGTTCATGATTACCGTTGCGTTTCCAGGTAGGACTAGTATGTTCTCCACACCGCCTCTGAAGATGTCTACCGCAGCAGTAGACGAAACGTTAGGTAGAAATACTAATGGACCACGGCATTACAGCCCGGAAAAAACTTTTTTACTAGATTCCTCTTTCTGTTCTATTTTTTTTCAGTCGTCTGTTAGCTTGGTCTTCCACAATTTTCTGGATCCGGTCTAGTTTTTCTGTTTTTATTTTTCTTTGGCTTCTGCTTTATTCCTTCCCCTTATCTTTCTCTAAATTTTCCAATATAGCGAGCATCTGGTTTATTTGATTCTTCATTTCGACGTCGAAAATGTTTGTACCCGCTTATTTCCACTTTTGACCCCAATTCTCACGTAAATGGGCTCTCAGAGACGTGAGACTACTACTCCAAGCTGAAATAAACTTTTTTTACAAAAATACCAAAAAAAATCTATCACTACCTATCTAATAATAGTTTGATTTGCATTATAAGTGATCGCCTCGGTAGGTATCCAATTTTTAAAAAAATTAAGTCTGATCGACATTAATTTTATCGAATCTATCTACTTTTTTTCAGCATTATAACACCGAATATTGGACTAATATCAAGAGCTTTCAGAAGACAGTTCATTATACCCGAATTTCAAGAGTTCTGTAAACAAATTGAGGAAATTTATTGGAAATGCAAAGAAAACACAAATGGAAAAGTAATGATTACATTTGATTGTTGTAAATTTTTTTCTATTAATTTATTAAATATGTATAGGTAGCTTCCTACATACCTCAACTAAAAAGAATGAGTCCAAATTACTGGGGAGTGAGTATATGTACCATAGACGGGCAAAGATTCTCGATAGGAGATGTTTCAATACCATTCACAATACAATCCTGTAGTAAACCTTTAACCTATGGGATCGCTCTGGATCTGCTAGGATCGGATGTGGTTCATAAATATGTGGGCCAGGAGCCTAGTGGAAGGAATTTTAATGAGCTTATTCTGGATCACAATAGTTAGTGGCTGCTTTTTTCAACTTATATCCATGTTTTTTTCAAATAAACTTTTTTTTTTTTTTTAGAAAAACCTCATAATCCTATGATAAATGCTGGTGCTATAATTATATGTTCCCTTATTAAAACTATAGCCAGAGCTGAAATGAGTTTGGCGGAAAAATTCGATTATACAATGAATTATTTTGAGGTAAGCTAAGTATTGAACATTTTTCTCCCTAAACTTATGATTGAAAACTTTCTCAAACCGGTAATTTTCTCATTCAGCGACTAGCAGGAAATGATGATTTGGGATTTAATAACGCCGTTTTCCTCTCCGAACGGGAATGCGCTGATAGAAATTATGCTTTAGGATTTTATATGAAAGAGCATAAATGTTATCCGGAGAATTGCACATTTAAGGAATGCATGGATTTCTATTTTCAGGTAAAATTTAAATACCTAATTTTGCTAAATATCACAACAAAAGTTATTCAAATTAGTGTTGCTCACTAGAAGCAACTTGTGATCAAGTATCAGTAATGGGCTCAACATTAGCCAATGGAGGAATATGTCCCTTGTCAGAAGAAAAAGTATTAAAACCAGAGAGTGTGCGAGATGTTCTTTCTTTGATGCATAGTTGTGGAATGTATGATTATTCGGGACAATTTGCTTTCAAAGTAGGAGTCCCAACCAAATCCGGTGTAAGTGGTGCTTTATTAGTAGTTATTCCAAATGTTATGGGAATATGTCTATGGTCGCCTCCTTTGGATGCTTTAGGGAACAGCTGTAGAGGAGTTCAATTTTGCGAGGTAAATAATTCATACATTCATGCGAATATTTATAATAATATTAGTTTTTTCAAGGAGCTCATAAAGAAATTTAATTTTCATCTTTACGATAACTTGAAGCATGCAGCGAATAAAGTTGATCCAAGAAAGCACAAATTCGAAACTAAAGGTTTAAACGTTGTTAATTTATTGTTTTCGGCGGCTGCTGGAGATTTACCGGGTTTAAGAAGGTAATACTTTTGAATGATTTTTATTCACGTTCAGCATTTCTTACCCAGTTCTCAATATATGGCGTGTACACCGAAAACTTTCAACTTTCCGTTCCAGGGGAGTTACTTCCCATGAAGCATAAAAAAATTATTATTTATTTTAAGAGAAAAAAAAAAGTGTGACATGGAAAACTGGTTCTCAGAAATTTTGGGAGTTATTGCCAATAATTAGTTTATTTATAATTTTTATATTGAAATGTATTTTTGATGGGATATAAACCATTCGTAATTTTCGATAAAAAACTAAAGTTATTGCAGAATCATCAAAAACTTAGATGCCTAAACTTCCCGTGGAACTAGAAAAATCAAACAATGTCGCATTCAAAAAATTAAATTGATTAACATTATCTTGTCAGTCTGTCCTCGAAACTCAACATCTTAAACTTTGTAGGCATATTTCTGAGCACCTATTTTTTCGAAAAAAACAAAATAAATGAGAAGTTTCAGGTTTTTTTTCCTATAACTAAACTGTATCTACTTCCAGGCATATGTTAAATGGAATGGACATGAGTCTCCCCGACTATGATGGTAGAACAGCATTACATTTGGCAGCGGCAGAAGGTCACGTCAATTGCGTCGATTTTCTTCTAAAACAATGCCAAGTACCATATGATATTAGAGATAGATGGGGAAAAACGCCTCTTGAAGAAGCTCTTACATTTGGCCATACGGCAGTTATAGAATTGCTTCAGCTATGGGACGAACAAGCCACAAGAAGTATACCAGCAGAAGAGGATCCTCCTATACCAGGAATGGGGTAGAATGTATTATTAAAAAGTCTAGTCAATTAGTTAGGTAATAATTTATTTAGTTCGCTGTTGCCTGTTGCGATCTGGATATAATAATGGTTAAACCATGCAATTTTTTTCTGTTGGGATTCTTTGCTCCAATATTTTTAAACTTTCTGACGCTTAATCCCCACACCTCGATAAAGTACAAATAGTTTCTGAAGAATTATTGTTATTGGGCCTATTCGGGTTTGGGAAAATGACGGTTCTAGAACGGTTCAAAACAATCGCACAGTTTATTATTGAAATTTGTGATAGCCGAGTTGTTGTCATTTTATTGATTGATAAACTGTTCGATTGTTTTGAACCGTTTTAGAACCGTCCTTTTTCAAACCCGAATAGGCCTTATATTATGTGTAATTTGTGATATTATTTAAATTATTTGTCAATATTTGAAATTTGTGTCGTTATGTCTCGATTTTTAAGTATGATATTTATTATTAGTGAACACATGACAATAAAATTTTTTGCAAAATTTTTGTTTTGGTTTAATTACCTAGCTCATCTAAAAAAAAAGTTTGTTAGAATCACGAAAACATTCTTGGGAAAATGTCACCAATCTGCTGAAACGAGACGTCGAAAAAATATTACTTCGAGATTCCTTATGTCAAACAACTTTCCCAAAATCATATCGAAAACAAAAATGAAATGTTATGTAACCACTTTTTTCTCTACAGGTATACATTTATGTAATAAAATAATGGGGGTAGGGAAGATGGAAGTACAGAATTGTCCTAATTTGGCACATGAATATACCTAGTTACTTTGAAAGTTTTTCGATATCTTAGGAAAATATGCCTACTTCAAGGCGACTTTAATGCTAAAGTAGGAAAAATCGACATAAATGTTTCGAGTTTTCCTAGTACTGGAGAAAATTCGGCCTTGGTGACGAACCAACGAGGACACTAATTACCTGTAAAATTAACATAATCTTACTTTCGAAAGTCCTTATGGTGGGCATATAAAAAAAAAATTAACACTTGAAGGAAGAATTAACATTTAACTTAAATACTTAGGGTTATGATATGCTTCAGGGTGACCAAAAAATCAAAATAAGTGGTGGTAAAGAATTGGGTCACCTCCACCAGATGGATCGAAGATTGAAGTATTAATATTTCGGTCAGAATTAAGAATACATAAGCGCACGTGGAGATTCTTAGTTGTAAGTTAATTTTCTTAAATAAGTTTAAGTGTTAACTTTTTTCTATACCGCACCATTAATGATATATAAAGGCAGTTAACCTGAAACTGGTTAATTATCTCGCAGCGAATAAGCTCAACTCTGACAAACAGTCATATATGGAACTCGACTCTCGAAAAACATGCCGAATCCAGAATTGAAGCATTGGACATCTCCCAAGGCTTTTGATCAGGAGTGGCACAAAGGTCTCCCCAGCAAACTTTCTTCGGATCTTCTTCCACACGAATTTTGCCATTGGCTATGGGGAGCTTTTTACAAGGCAGGTCACTGCCTGTTGTGGTTGATGGTCTATATTCTGATACACTGCCTATAAATGCCGGCTAAGGCTCAATTTTATCTCCAATACTGTTACTCAATTTTATAAATGATTTGTTAATTGTGACTACAAACCCCATATACAGGGTGTCCCAAAAAGATACCAACAAACTTTAAGGGGTAGTAGGGGACATCAAAACAAGCATTTTTGTTTATATAAACATATGTCCGCAAATGAGCCATTTGGGCTGTAGAGCAAAAAAACTGTTTGATACTTTTATTCTTCGCAATAATTAAATCACTGTTTACTTATTAATTTTGCTTTATTATCAAATAAATTATGGTTTAGAATAATTGTTCAAAATGTTGACCATTTACTTCAATGCAAAGATTACACCGTCGGGTCATCGACTGAAAAGTTTAGTCTTCGAAACACCTGTTCGTAATGAGGAAGATCTGATAGCAAGGAAACTGGCGACTTGTACCCATGTAGAAGCGATTCCCGGAATATTCCAAAGAGTTCGCGAGTTCAACAATTATTGTAAACCATAATTTATCTGTTAATAAATAAGCAAAATTAATAAGTAAACAGTGATTTAATTATTGCGAAGAATAAAAGTATCAAACAGTTTTTTTGCTCTACAGCCCAAATGGCTCATTTGCGGACATATGTTTATATAAACAAAAATGCTTGTTTTGATGTCCCCTTCTACCCCTTAAAGTTTGTCGGTATCTTTTTGGGACACCCTGTACAGCTTTACGGACGATAGTAGCTTCTATTCTGACAAACCGCTTACTGCAGCTACTTCCACACGCCTCGCCTGAGAACAGATTCTATCTAACAGTGATCTTTGACACCATTACCAACTGGGGCCCTAACAACCTAGTCAAATTCAAGACTTCCAAAACTCAACTCAAAACCAACTCAAATAGAACTACCGCTTAGGTAGTATAGACTTATGAATACATTCTTCCAGAGGTCACTAGAAAGAAGATAGTTATTAGTTAAAAATGAGATTGATGGCATTATCACAAATCGAAGGTACATTGTCAAAGACGTTGCGATTGTAAAATCGAGACTGACAGTGATTATGGATGATAGTGACTAAGCGTCACAATATCAACCTGGTAAGAAGTAAACTAATAAACCAACAACTTCGTTTTATTTTACCCCTGAAACGCAAAGTGAGAACATTTCAAAATACGACCTTCATGCCGCCAGCTATTTGGCTGAAGGTTGGTTTTGAAGTTTTGCGTGATGCAGCCTGCCCATTTCTTTCTGCCTTAGCCTTTCTCCTCCTCAGTTGGATTTCAGGCGTGTTCCCTTCTGAACCGACCCTTATCTGATGCTTATCTGCCTTTTGCAGACGATTATACATACCAGTGGCGGCTCGTGGTGTCCAAGTAAGGGTGGGCGACAAAAATAAAAAATAGCCATGGGCAATTTTTTTTAGATTTTCAAGGTCGCGGCCTTTTCAAATATTGTATTAAAGCAAAGATAATCCTACTCCGAAGTAGGATTATCTTTGATTAAAGGTATTTTTTATTTTTCCATTTTCTCTCCAGGGTGGCGGTGCCCACCTTGCCCATATGGGCGAACCGCCACTGATACATACAGTGAGGACATAAAGTCCGTCCCCCCTCTAACTTTTGAGCCGCTCGGTACCTATATTACAACGAAATTTGTCCTCACTGTCTACAATATTAGGTATACAAATAAACCTATTCGTTGAAGCTTTTCAAATTAATAATGATTGAATATTTTTCTTTAGATATTTTCTAAGTATTGCCAAACCAATTTTAATTTGAAACTTCGGAATTAGTAGGCAGTTATTACTCTAGGTAGGGAAGCCAAATAAAATCCGTCTGTTCACGTTCAAAGTTTCTTTTATGGTCCGTATTTAGAAATCACTTCAGTCAACTCGTGGGCATTTCGGTAAATACACAACTTCTATTAGGTTATAAAGGTAGAGGCAACTCTCTAAGTAATGAACTCGAAACAATGATACGTGGAAGAAATACATATATTGGTTAATATAGCATCTAATATTTGTTTAGCCTGACTTAACGAATCAAATTTTCTTATTTCAATGTTATGCCTCTAATTTAATACATAATATAACATTTTATTTTCTTGAACCATGAATTTATCAGGATGTAGAATTTATCTATACCTATATATAAAACACAAAAAATGTTTCTTTGTCCGTTATAGACTTTGAAACCATCCGATCGATGTGCTCCAAACCAGTTTAATTTGAAAGGCAATAATGGGAAAAGAGTTTTAGACCACTAATGACAAGTGTCAACTGTCAAATGTGACAGGTGCAGATTTTGGAACCATTTCTTCGCAACGGATTTTGTTGAAATTTTGCATACACTTGAAGTTCGGGTGATAATACAATTTGGAAAACTTAACAGTTGTCAAATGTAATTTTGGACAGATATCACCTGTCAAAATATGACAAAAGGGCGTCATATACCGGCCCGGTGCTCAGAACGGACACCTTAGACGTTGAACAAAATTGTCAGGAGTCAACTGTTAAATGTGACAGATGTAGAGGTGATCAGGTTGTCAGGAATTTAAAAATTTGCTTTTTTCAACAAATAAACAAAATGCACCTACTTATTTTTTTAGCGTAGTAGCACACATCAGGTATCCGCTAGTAATACATATGTACGTACCAACTACCAATAGTCAGATTTTGCTAATGGCTCCCGCACAAAGAATTTATCATCGTGTTTTTTACTGTTATATTTAAGCAGGGTTCAAAGATACATTTTAACAACCACCACAAGTATATGTAGCTAAAAAATTTGCAAAATTCCACATAATAAAGCATAGATAGTATTATTAAATATACCTACATGGATCAGATTTAATAAGATGAAATTACAAATTTAAATTTAAATGAAGTAGATTTATGAGCAATAAAGTGAGCTATTACTAGTTAATTAGATCTCATACAAATAAGTTTAATAAATAAACCTTAGTAAAAAGTGCTAAACTGAAAACATAAAAATTCATCAACTACGTTATTATATTTCACATATGTATTTATTATCTATGGTACAGGAACACGCATAAGACAAATAATTTAACATTTTTATTTCCAGTTTGATACTGAGCAGGATTAAAATATATGCTCACTTTAACAACCAAAGCCTATCTCAGCTTTTTAGGAAACAAACTAGCATTTAAACAAAGATTCAAAGATTGTTTAGTTTAGAGGAAGGAAATAATTATGTTTCTTATTGTTTTCCTTTATTTAGATTCAAACTGGCTTTACGGAAGCCTGTTTTTTAATTTGACACTTGATTTCTCTTACTTTATTGCTCTCTTTGTGAAAGGTAAATTGGCAGAAACTCGCCCTCAATTTTTCCCAGAAAAGTATCAAACTCTTCCCCCCCTACCTAAGCTTATTAGGGGAAATGAAATTGGGGTCTTTGGACTTTTCTTTTATTATACACGACACCCGACATTCCGTTTATAATTTTTTTCCCAGAATCTTTCAAATGTGATTTTAACTTCAGAAAGTAAATATTCGTCCTTCAAAATTTCATGAAACAATTTTGAACGATACAATAATTATTCTGAGAACAAACCACATCCTTTTCTGAAATAAAAATTTGTTTAAAAACAAGTTAAAAGCACTTTCTAAGTACCACATATATGCACGCAGCAAGATTATCGTAAGCAATAATAGGTACCATGAGCTTTCAGATTTGGCAGGATTCTTTTTTTACTTGGTAGGTAAATTGGTTAACCTCTAGGTAGGCTCTTCGTCACAACAGTGACGTCGCATACCATTTTCAGCCGAAATCGGCCGGTTTGTCAAATGTCACGTGTATGACGTGATGGTGATGGTATCCTGAGAAAATAAAAATAAACAAACTACTGAATACTTTTTATTGTTGGAAATTAAAATTGAGAATAGTGAAAATTGATTGTGTTTATTTGTTGTGTTTGATTTCAATTATAAACAAAAAAGTGAGGTTAACTTACTCCAAATTAGA